CAAAGAATGAATTTTAGTGTAAATTATGAACTTTAGTTAATAATGCACCTATATTGATTCATTAATTATTACAAATATATCACAGTGATGCAAGATGCAAATAATAGAGGAAGCTGAGTGGGGCACAGGGAATGTACGGGAAATCTCTGTAGTCGCTGCTCAATCTTTCTGTCAATCTAAAACTGTTCTAAAAAGTAAAGTCTCTCTCTATATATAAATTGAGTGCTAGCATCAACAAAATGCAAATTTAAACTATCGTAAACTACTACTAGACTGCATTTAAATAGCTGAAATGACAAGAATTGACAATATCACGTGTTGCCAAGGAAGTAGAGCAAATGGAAATCTCCTATATTGCCAACAGGAATGTAAATAGGAACAAACACTTTAGACAACAATTTGGCAGCTTCTTTTGAAGTTAAACATACATATACCATATCATCCAGAAATTCTACTCCTACGTATTACTTAACAAAAATGAAAATATATATCCACACTAAGACTTGTACACAAATTTTATCAGCAAATCCACTGAAAAGGATCTTCCTTTAAAAAGAGAAAGATTTTATTCCTGTAAGCAGTTTGCAAACCAGGGAGACCCGACCTTCCTTCAGTACAAAACAGAGATACTCTCCCTGAGAAGAGAGAGACGGGTTATCCTTTATAGAAAAAGCTCCCGCCCAGATTCCCACTCTGGTCTGCTCTGCAAGTGAGGGATGCAAGTGTGTTTGGTTCTGGTTGGTCAATGCAGGTCACAAGTCTATTTGTTAGATCCAGGAGTCAAGATGAGACTTCCCAGCACCCATCAAATCAGGAGGCATAAACAGGAGCAGACGGCCGTGAAAGTCCCCAAATCACGCGAGCCTGTGGTTTCTCAGAGAATGCAGAAGACGTCTGTGACCTGGATCCATTCTGCATTTAGACCCAGTTAGCCACTCAGGATCCATTTGGAAGGACTGGCTCTTTCAGGTTCAGGAAGTGTTCATGGCAGCTTTATTTACAGTAGCCAGAAACTGGGCTCTATCCCAGTTACCTTTAGTGACTTTCAGTCATACTCAGCTTCACTGAACAGTACTCCCTGAACTGGCCCTTTAAGAAAAGGAAGGAGCCTCCTGCCCACGAGGTAGGAAGCAGTCCAGCAGGGCAGGGGGTGTCCACCGGAGCTGGGGGCGCTTTGTAGGAGGCAGATGCTGATGAGGAGAATGTAAGGCTTCGGAACATTAGGAAAATGGGAGTTGCACCTCTTTGTAGTTTGTTGGATAGTGGCTTTGTATTAGTTTCTTGAGGCTGTGATAACAAAGTACCACAGACTTCAACGGCAGCAGGGTGTCATCTCACACTTCCAGGGGCTGGAAGTCAGAGGTGAAGGTATCAGCAGGGTTGGTTTCTTCTGAGGCTGTGAGGGACAGGTCTGTTCCCGGCCTCTCACTGTGGCTTGTAGATGGTCATCCTCATGCCCACACAGCGTTCTACCTGTGTGAGTGGCTGCCTCTTTATCTAAATCTCCCTTTTTATAGGGACATCAGTCATTCCGGATTGAGGCCCACCCTAATGACCACATTTGAACTTGAGTACCCCTGTAAAGACCCTATCTCCAGATAAGCTCATGTTTTGAGGTGCTGGGAGTCAGGGTGTCAACATGGGAATTTCGGGGGATACAATCCAACCCGTAACAGGCTTGAGCCGTTTTCTTTTTATGATTATGTGGGCCACAGTCCCAGACAGCAACCACTGGTCCCAGATCAGGTACAAGCGGTCCCAGCATCGTGAAGGACCTGAGGATGTCTGGGTTACCTTGGCTTTGAATAACCAGCCGAGGAGCTGTGGGAGAGCCTGTCCTGCCCCTTTAAAATACTGAAGTTTGAGTTGGAGCCCCCAGCTAAAATGTTGGCATTTTCCTATGGTTCTCTAATAGTTACAGAGAAAAGAGAGGAACCTTAGCTCTTCTGTTGAGGGTTTATTCCGCCTGATGCTCTCCAACTAAGTTTGTTATTTTGGCAACACTGATGAGGTAGCTGTTATCCCCTTCCTGCAGCTTAGGAAACAAAAAGCTCAGTGGGACTAGGTAGCCTTCGTCCACACTGCCTAAGCTGTTATTCAAGTACAGGTAGTAAGAGGGATTTGAACACAGGCCTTCCTGACCCCAGCGTCCATGTTCTTTTCATAACCATGAGCTATTTCATTTTCTAAAAAGTGTTCAGTTGAAACAAATGCAGAAATGATTCCTCTTAATGTATGCAATAGAGCTGTGCTTGTCTGATATAATCCAGGATGTATCCTCTGAACAGAAAAGTTAGAAAAGATGGCATCAGAAAAGACATGCAGACAACTGTAAAAACTGTGAAACTTGATGGGGAAAATGTGTTATCACCTGACCTATATCTTGAAATGGTAAGAATTTACGCTATCCACCTGTCAAGATAAAGGAGCAAAGGAACCACGCTCCAAGTGTTGGGAAGAAAATCGCACACAGTGGCAACTGGGGGTGACATGAGACCACACCACCCATCAGGAATCTCACGCAGCCCCTCCATTCTTGAATATGAACAATTGAAGTTTTCTCATTTATTTTATTTTATTTTTTAACTGATTAATAATAACTATACATATTCATTGGCACCTAGTGACATTTCTATACCTCTAAGGTGTAGTGATCAGATCAGGGTAACCGGCATGCCCGTCATCTCAAACATTGACCACTTCGTGCAGCCTGGAGCTCCCCACTGTGGATCCAATGGCTGCCACAACCATGTTGCAGAGCCAGGTCGCTGAAAGGCAGCTTGGCAAAAAGACTAAGATGAGCCAAGTGTACTGTGACATGGCATAGGAATCATCGATCAAATGCTGTAACTTGGCGTCATTACAACAGACAATGATGTTGAGTGGAGTGCTGGACCTCTTATCACCACAGTATCACACTGATGTAATCACACTAATCTAAGCTTCTTGGTGGGGAAAGAGAAAAGCTTTGCAGTAGCTCCCCTTCCTGGTGCTGTTCAGAAACAACAATGGTCCAGGCCACATCTCACAAAGAAGGGGGCTGGGCTGGCTGGACACAGTGCTAAATGAGTCGCAGGTCAAGAGGTCACTCCTGCAGCCAGGCCGGCCTTTAGCCACACTCTGGTCCAGGCGACAGATAGGGCCCCTAGCCTTAGCCCCCTTTCATCTCACACGTGGGGTGTTCTTGGCCACAAGAGGACCAATTCAAAATAATGCTCAGTGACTTGGTGAATAAACTCCTCTACTGGAGATATTGCATTGCTAGATGTATCCTGAACTACAAATCTTGCTTGGGGAGATTTGTATAAATTTAAGATCATTTGATTGGTTTTCATTCAAGTCCCTGCTTTCAAGAGCCTCTTGTATGCTTCCAATGGAACACGAGAATCCGAATTCAGTCCTTCACCTATTCCTACTGGTGTTGAACTCTACAAAGACACAGAATCTACCGGCTTAGCCAATGAACCTTACAGAGTGTCTAGTTGCTCTGATTTAACGTATCAGTGTATCGGGAAACTTAATCCTGAGTGCAGGCTGATGGCATATGGATTCCATGCTGGTGGTAGGTTTGGACTACTTCAGAAAAGAAATGGGCACATGCCTTCTTGTAAATATTTTGTCTTTGTAAATATTTTCTTTGTATTCATGGGTTCAAGGCGCCCAGGAAACATATGTGAAGCCCAGATGTCACCGGAATTTTCCTGGTCTGCTTTAAGGAAGTCCTTAAGCATCACACCCGCCAGTTCAAATACCATTTGAGCTCTGTGCATTTGTGAGAAATGATGTATAGGTAGAAAAATTATACAAGAAACATTGAAAAATCAACAGGACTATTTAAATGTTATACTGAACGCATGAACGGTTCAATCTAAATATTTGGCTATTAAAAATTACTCAAAAATCATAGAAGTCTGGAAATAAATACTTCATAAACAACATTTTCAAATATCACATCAGGAAAAATTAGACAAAACCAGTTAAGGAGGGAAGTTACATTTAAAAAGACTGAGTTCTACTATCCCCTAAGTTTTGCAAAAATATTTTTAACTTACCTTCTAAAAGTTGGTGAGTTTCCATTATAAAATAGAAAAATTGTCTTCATTCCATGAAAGAACTGTCTGAGAATCAGAAAAGCACCATATCCTGGATTTCGAGGAAGATGAAATTTCTTCTTATCTTCTATTTTACTAAATACTAAAAATAAAATAATCATATTGTATTGAATCTGACACTGTTAAGGAAAATAGCTTAAAATTTTTAAAATAATGAGCAATATATTTAATTTTAAAATATGAAGAATTAGGCTAAGGTAGTAATTTTTTAGTGAGTTGAAAGTCCAAACTATGAGTTTGGAAGAAACAGCCCTAAAAGGCAAATAACATGGCTTTGGAATAATCACAGGGCAAATGCTTTGTTCTATGTAATTCTTCTTTTGTGAATTTTAAAATGCTCAACAAGTGAATTTTATAATGAATTATGTCTAAGAAGTAGATATTGCTTTAAAATCTAATTTCCAGAATCCCAAACTAAGGCAAAGACTGAGATTAAATCTCTGCCCAAAGTCTTAAGTGAGCCAGTGGAAGGCAGCAGTTTATTCACGAACTGCTGGTTATCTGCTGCTTAACTACTTAACACACCCCGGTGTGACTGGCAATCAGATCCTAATAATGTATGTTTCAAGGAAAGGTCAGTTTCCTTAAGATCCTTAAAGACTTGTCACTTTGAAAAGGGAAACAGAACGTGAAAATGTCACCGGTCCATCTGGCAGTGTCCTTGGGTGTTTTTCAGAGTGGTCCCATAGTGCTATTTAACTATGCTGGATGTTTGACACCCAGTCACTGTAGGAAATTGTGATTTTTATCAGCGAAGAGGCAATTAAATGCTGTCATTTGGCACTTCCAACCATCAGGGATCTTATCACCCAAGAAGCATCCAGCAGCAGTTGCTGTCCTTTCCAGCTGGGAGACAGATAACAGAAACTGTCCTGTGTGAGGCACAATAGTCTAACGTGATTAGAAATCAGCCAAACGCTGGCTTCTCTGGAGCTTTACTCCCCCACAGGCTGAATTATAGCTCTCCTACCAGTCCCACGGCGCTGAATGATGTCATGGGATCTGCAGTTCAGCGAGATGAAAGGGATAAAGCAGAACCCGCTGGCACTAGGAAAAGCTTCCAACACACAGTCCACAACACAGCTTGGGAACCAAAAAAGCTACAGATCCAGCCACTCAGCCCAAGCAAGGGAGAATTACCAGCATTGCCTTATTGCAAAAAAGAGGAGGAAAACAACGTGATCCATGTTTAACAAAGACTGTGTGGACTAGGAGGCGGGAGGGTAACTACCTGCTAAAAGTGAACTCTCTTGATATCCATGCATATATATAAACTCAGCCCTGCCTTTGATGTTCAGCAACTGATCACTGATCAGATTACAGGCATTTCATCTCCCTGCTCGTCTGCCTTTGATCTGCATGGTTAATTTTATTTTCCTGGATTTGAAGTTTCGTCTGGGCTTGTGCTGACATACATTTTTGGGAAGGTAGAAGCATTTGGCATAGAAGTGCTGCCAGGAGAAACTAAGTTGTCGAACGGGTAAGTACTGCAAAGAGCTCAGCGTGTTGCAGGTACTCTGTTTTAAGTTTTGTTGTAGCTTTCACTGCATTTTTTGCATGTGTTCTGAGAAAAGAATAGTTTTAATTAATTTTTTAGAAAGCATTTATACAACTGAATACTACATGATGCTGAATGTGTATATCAGAGTAACTATGGAACTTGAGGCAAGTTTTAGTAGTTTGTACAAGAGGGTTTGCCGTCTGTCATGCAAATTTTACTTGGAAATGAGTTGTACAAACAGGACAAAACAGAACAGTGCTAACTTTAGCATGCAACCAGTACTTCAGCCCCTGAGATCTGTGAGCTATAATTGCTCTAAGTATTTATGGGTTACCTTATTTAGTAAACAGTCAGTGCAACTTTGCTTGTTGAAAATGCTTTCTTTGTTTTCTTACATAAAAGAGTAAAATGTATCTCTGGCAATACTGTTTCTTTAGTTTATTTATTCTCTCACTTCCAAGATGTAAATCTATCAAATATATTTCCTTATGCAGTTTGTACACCCAAGGGAATCACTGAAAAACCATTCAAGTATGATTAAAGCCTTTTATGTGTAAAACTGAAGAATTTAAAAACAGTGAGGATAAAGTTGCACTAAGTTTGGCTAAAAATACTCTAGTGGTTTTCTATAACCTTTGGAAATAGCATAAGCCTTATTTTCAGAAACATTCACGAGGTTAATATTCCTAAATTAACATTTACTTTACATTTATAGTGACAGCTGTTGTAAGTTAAAATTTGCCAACTGTTTATGAAAACTGAGTAATCAACAGTTACTATGTTACATAAAGTATTTCAGTCACATTTTCACTTTAGCTAATGCCCAACATGACAAAACCAAATTATATTGCTGTACTGAATTTGGATGTTAACTGATATTTCTTTGTCAGTTCATGATACACACACACTCACGCTCACAGGCACACAGAGCAAAATCTTTACAGTGAAATATAAGAACTAAATACAGTGGAAAAGTAACACTGTTACTTCGTTCGCAATGGTTTTTTTTTTTTTTTTTTTTATGTTCTAGTCCTAAATCTATCTGGGCAAAAGATTTAATTATTATCACAAGTCTATTTGATGCTAGCTGAACCACAAAGAAACCATAAGTGATAAGACTAGTTATCCTTTAGTCTGAAATTCTGATGAAACAGGAAACGTCTAATGAGTCTCATTTCATATGTAATTAATTTTTCAGAGTCAATTAATCAAATTACTTTCTACACTTTCCTCTTGATACTAGGAGGGTAATTAGCATTGTTTACTTAATTTTAAAACTTTACTAGTTGTTAAGTGGAGGTTATTTAAAGCCAGGCTAAACTGATAATATTTTTTAAATGTGTCAGTAATAATTTAATCTTAAAGATTTAACTGTTGTTTTTAGTCATGCCAGGAGAGGCATTTGCTTTTTTTTTTTTTCTAAGAGTACAACGAATCATGTTCACAATATCTTGCAATATCGGTTTAGTTTGATTTTTTTTAAATTTGTTTGCTTAAAATCTTCCTTTTAATCACAAAAGTGGTATTAGTGTTCACATTCAGATAAAGAAAATTAACCTTTTAAAACAATGACTGGAGACAGTGCCTAAAGAAATAGTGTGTTTGAAAACTTGCTCATTTAGTTCAGATTTGGGATTTAAAAAAATTTTAAATGAATGTTTATTCTGCTGCTAGGATCATTTTAACAAATACAAGCTCTCCTCAGCACTAAACAAAGGGGAGAATTAGTAATTATCTGATTAATTTAGGCTTTGTAGAAAACTAGCTTGGGCAAGTCAAGTCCTTGAAAATCCACTTCAGTGTTTGAGTTAATTCAGTTAATTGTTTACTTCTTGTGTCATTGTTGAGAAATGAAACAGAGTGTATTGGATTTTAAAAGAAAGATGGTTATATCTGAAGGTACAGGTACAGTCTCAAAAGGCATTTCCTAATTAATTGCCACAAAATGACGGGCAGATATAGTCCTATTACTTCTACTGAACGAAACCCTTATGTGACATTTTTCAAAGCACTTTCCTATCTGTTGCTTCAGTGGCAGCTTTGTTACTACACAAAGTCCAAGTCTTCAAAAGACTTTCTTGTCGAGTCCTGATACTGTCACCAATTAGCTGTATGACCTCAAGAGGGTTTTCTCATGTATGAAGTGAGGGTGTTGACCACATCATCTTTATGAAATAAGCAGGATTGGAATTTTTATGGCCATTTTACAGATGAGGAAACTGAGGCTATAGAAAATGAATGTCCCTATCTTAACAAGGTCACATGGCTGATTTTCCCACTTCTAGTCCAATGTTGTTCCCAGTCTATCATGCGGGGTCTGCTTTCCAACAACTGCTTAAACAGATGCACCCTGTAGCTCATCAAACAACAATGTTAGTTGGAAAACTAAAGACAGCCACTTCCTATTGGAGTGCATTTTTTTTGTTTCCATGATAGGTATGTCAGTCAGCTGGATTAGTCGGATTATTTCCCAACTGTTCCTTCTGCTTCTGGACTTCTAAGCTGTCTAAACACAGTAGCTGCTACCCATAATTTAATAAGTAAAATAATTTTCACAAAAAGTTTAATGCATCAATGCAATGTGGAATTATGTACGTATTTGTGTGTTTGTCTCTGTGTGTATGTGTATATAGGAGTTTGGCGTTATATCAACACATCTTTGTGTGTTTTGAAGGAATTGATATTTTCTTAGAAGATGCCAATGGCATCCACAAAAAATTTAATAATTAAAGGTGAATTTTCCTCCAGGGAAATTCCCAGTGGGATTTTGTGACATTTCAGTTGACAAACGCAATGTGCATTTCAAACATGATATGATATGTGTTTCATATCATGTTTGGTTATGTTAAGAATCTTGAGCATGTTTTCATTCACTCTTTATTTTTCTTCCTTGAAAAAAATATATCTTGGGGCCGGGCGCGGTGGCTTGCGCCTGTAATCCCAGCACCTGGGGAGGCTGAGGCAGGTGGATCATGAGGTCAGGAGATCGAGACCATCCTGGCTAACTCAGTGAAACCCCGTCTCTACTAAAAATACAAAAAATTAGCCGGGCATGGTGGCGAGCGCCTGTAGTCCCAGCTACTCGGGAGGCTGAGGCAGGAGAATGGCGTGAACCCGGGAGGCGGAGCTTTCAGTGAGCTGAGATTGCACCACTGCACTCCAGCCTGGGTAACAGAGTGAGATTCCGTCTCAAAAAATACATATATATGTGTGTGTGTATATATATATATACATATCTTGTGCGAAAAATTTTAATTTAGTTATTGATAAAATTTTATACAAATACAGGACTCTCATGGCCAAACAGCTGCCCTCATAATAGGGCTTATCACCCTCTTTATGATTCCTATGTAAACATGATTATTACTAACATGACCTAATATTTATTAATTCACTCATTATCAATTAATTCAATAATATATATCAAGTACTTGTGCAAGGATAAATACCATGTGCAAGATTATAGGAATAATTCAGTGGCAGCATTGTGGTCTACATTTTTTTCGTTCTGGGGCTACGCAGTTCATTCTTTCTCTTACAAGAATTACACAAAGCTGAACTTGACTGTCAGCAAACATTATAGCCAAAATTTTGGCCAAAAATGTGGGCTCCAGTTTGTTTGTTTGTTTGTTTGTTTGCTTGCTTTTATATATATTGTAAGAACTATTAGATATTTTTAATAGTATTTTCTGCCAGGTTGGCCATAAAGGACCTCCCTAAGCCATGAAGGCATAATCTGCTCTCCCTGTGCTTCAGGAGTGAACTGAACTCAGCCATCTGGCATTGGTTTAGTTGGATTCTCTTTCTGTGATGGCAAGGCCAGTCCAAGCCACCCTGGAAGAATGAGTGATTTGGTCCCCTTTAAAGGGTGGTTCTTTAAAACGTTGTCCGCCTGGGTGAGCTCTATGATGGGAGGGCCGAGGGCTCTACTGTCACTAGTCATTCAGTTTTGGCTCCAACGTTGTTAGCTCTAACCCACTCAGTTGCCAAAATCAATACTCACTTCTTTAGATGAAGTAGGTAGTTTAACACCCTCCTTTGTGACTTAAATTTTCTCTTTGATGAGAAGGAGAAGGACAAGTCAGGTGGGGGTTTCAACTGTCTTCGTAAAACCATTCCTTCCAACATAACCCACTCTCTTTGCAAGCAGTTCTGATAAGGATAATTTTCTCCATTCTGTTAAATGCTCCCCATGCTTTGGTGGCTCCATAGCTTAGCACCATGGGTTGCTGCTCAGCCAGCCTGGCCTTAAGCCAGCCCTAGATAGAGGAGTCCACCATGTTTATCAGGAAGGAGAGAAGGAGAGTCAATGGCCTGTCTCATCCCTCATCAAACTCATGAAAAGGGTCTAGCCAATGAGGTGCTCAGGGCCAAGATATCACAAATTCATTGTATCAGTGCAAGTGCTGCAACTTGTAACAACTTTGCTCTGTAAGTGTCTTGGGCTCCACATTATATAAATTATATAAAAATAGCCTCCCTGGGTTTTATATATATATTGGTTTATGCACCCATGGTATGGCAAAGATTATGTTAAGACACAGAAAGCCCAGATTCTGATTCCAGCTTTGTTAATTAACTTGGTGTGTGACATTCAGAAGTCACTGGGCATTGGCCTTACAGTGCTCCCCCAGCCCCGTGCTGACAGTCTATAATTGGCAGTAGTGGGTATTGGCAATTACTTAAATAGCTAGGTCTTGGGGGCTCCTCCTCCACTTATTTTCTTAACTGTATTTGGAAAACTTTATTACCCTTTGAGATTTTCACTCTCAATTACTAATTCATCCAACAAATTTTTAATGAGAACCTACTATGTGCCGAACACTGTAAATCAAAGACACAAAATTTCATATTCTCTTGTAGCTTGCATTCTATTCCATTTCCTCCCCAAGGCATAGTGATTTGCACCAGAAATGACTAGAAGTCAGGCAATTTTTCATTAGCTTTGCTTCCAGTGAGCTAGTTTATCACTGAAACTA